GGCACAAAGCTTGTGTTATTTTTCTTCTAGGAGTTGAAATGAACAACTACAAAACAACAAAACCTATCCCCTGAGATCCCCATCGTTCCCACGATAAAACCAATTGTCTTCTCAAGATTAAACAAGCACCAATAACAGAGAAGAAAACAGAAGAAAGAAAGAAAGAATCTGAAATATTCCACTCCCCATAAAGCTATAAAGGATGCCCCACAGTCATACCAAGGAAAAAACAAATGCAGAGAAAAAAACTGTTACTATTTTTAAAAAGGCTGAAGAAGAATGTTGTCTGTGTATCTGTCTCTCTAGCTGTCTCATCTCTGCTCTCTCTCTCTACTCTCACTTGGCGATGATAGATGTCTACTAGAGTCTGCGTCATATGTGAGGGACTAAAGCTGTGGTCAGAGAGCGAAGAGCGAGCGCCCGAGAAGCGCGAGAGAGCGGGAGACCGAGAGAGAGAGAGAGAGAGAGACGAGAGAGAGAAGAGGGGGCGACGAGGAGCGAGAAGCTGAGAGGCGAGGAGCGGCGGGAAGAGAAGAGAGTAGAGCGAGAGAGAGGCGAGAGGAAGTCGAGTGGAGATGCGTTGAGCATCGCTACAGGGAGCTGCGTAGCCAGAGAGAGGAGAGCTACGATTATGCATGCTCTCTAGCATTGAATCGCACGCTGTGAGATGCCGCATATCTTCTGTCGCGAGCTCCAGTCTCCCTCACTCCCTCTCTCTCTTCTCTCATCTCTCTCTCTCTCTCTCTCTCTCTCTCTCTCTCTTCTCTCTCTCTCTCTCTCTCTCCTCTTCTTTCTCATTCGATCTCCCGCTTTCTCTCTCTCTCTTTCTCTTTGACGGGTCGTGGATAAAGAGAGCGAGATCAGGATGGTGGAACAATCATAGTAATACTGTCACACCCTGATCTGTTTCACCTGTCTTTGTGCTTGTCTCCACCCCCTCCAGGTGTCTCCCATCTTCCCCATTATCCCCAGTGTATTTATACCTGTGTTCTCTGTTTGTCTGTTGCCAGTTCAACTCGTCTCGTCAAGCCTACCAGCGTATTCTTCGTACTCCTGTTTTCTAGTTTTTTTAGCTTTCTGCCTGCACTGAGCCTGAGCCTGCCTGCCGTTCTGTACCTTACGGACTCTGCCCTGGACTACCGACCTCTGCCTGCCCCGACCCTGCCTGCCCCTCTGTACCTTACGGACTCTGCCCTGGACTACCGACCTCTGCCTGCCCTTGACCTTTCCTTTGCCTGCCCCCTGTTTATATAATAAACGTCCGTTATTCGAACTGTCTGCATCTGGGTCTTTTCCTGAGCCTTGATAAATAAATCACTATGCAAGTCAACTTCTCCCTCTGTGACTTGGAAGTCAGACACCTTCTGACACAGTTTGGGGCCAGCCTTTCACTTTCCACCTCTCATCAGTGTGTTATCAGGGAGCCATCCAGCCAACACTTCACTCTGATGGCAGCTCAAGAGAGATGCAGTAAAACCCTAAAACCTGCATTAGAAACCTGCCGCCCGTTCTCTAGACATCCAGGAGTTAATAAGAGACTTCCTGGGAAGGGACTACTGTGAGTGTGCAGGAGGAGTAGAAGACATGGAATAAAGGAGGAGAGGGAAAAAGAAGGAGTGAGTGTGAACTGAGAAGACTAAAGCGCTAGAGCTGGATTTAGTTGTCTGTCAGTGTTGGGACCCAGCAGTCTGTCTGAGTTGGGACCCAGCAGTCTGTCTGTGTTGGGACCCAGCAGTCTGTCAGTGTTGGGACCCAGCAGTCTGTCAGTGTTGGGACCCAGCAGTACAGTGCCTTCAGAAAGTATTCAGACCCCTTGACTTTTTCCACATTTTGTTACGTTACGGCCTTATTCTAAAATTGATGTAATAGTTTTTCCCCCCTCGCCAATATACACACAATACTCCATAATGACAAAGCAAAAACAGGTATTTGACATTTTTGCTAATTTATAAAAAATGAAAAAATGAAATGCCAAATTTACATAAGTATTCAGACCCTTTACTTAGTACTTTGTTGAAGCACCTTTGGCAGCGATTATAGCTTTGAGTCTTCTTGGGTATGACGCTACAAGCTTGGCACACCTGTAATTGTGGAGTTTCTCCCATTCTTCTCTGCAGATCCTCTCAAGCTCTGCCAGGTTGGATGGGGAGCGTTGCTGCACAGCTATTTTCAGGTCTCTCCAGAGATGTTCGATCGGATTCAAGTCCGGGCTCTGGCTGGGCCACTCAAGGACATTCAGAGACTCCTGCGTTGCCTTGGCTGTGTGCTTAGGGTCGTTGTCCGGTCGGAAAGTGAACCCTCGCCCCAGTCTGAGGTCCTGAGCGCTATGGAGCAGGTTTTCATCAAGGATCTCTCTGTACTTTGCTCCGTTCATCTTTGCCTCGATCCTGACTAGTCTCCCAGTCCCTGCCGCTGAAAAAGATCCCCCCAGCATGATGCTGCCACCACCATGCTTCACCGTAGGGATGGCGCCAGGTTTCCTCCAGACGTGACGCTTGGCATTCAGGCCAAAGAGTTCAATCTTGGTTTCATCAGACCAGAGAATCTTGTTTCTCATGGTCTGAGAGTACTTTAGGTGCCTTTTGGCAAACTCCATGCAGGCTGTCATGTGCCTTTTACTGAGGAGTGGCTTCCGTCTGGCCACTCTACCATAAAGTCCTGATTGGAGGAGTGCTGCGGAGATTGTTGTCCTTCTGGAAGGTTCTCCCATCTCGACAGAGGAACTCTAGAGCTCTGTCAGAGTGACCATCAGGTTCTTGGTCACCTCCCTGAACAAGGCCCTTCTCCCCCGATTGCTCAGTTTGGCCGGGCGGCCAGCTCCAAGAAGAGTCTTAGTGGTTCCAAACTTCTTCCATTTAAGAATGATGGAGGCTACTGTGTTCTTGGGGACCTCAATGCTTCAGAAACGTTTTGGTACCCTTCCCCAGATCTGTGCCTCGACACAATCCTGTCTTTGAGCTCTACGGACAATTTGTTCAACGTCATGGCTTGGTTGTTGCTCTGCCATGCACTGCCAACCGTGGGACCTTATATAGACAGGTGTGTGCCTTTCCAAATCATGTCCAATCAATTGAGTTTAACACAGGTGGACTCCAATCAAGTTGTAGAAACATCTCAAGGATGATCAATGGAAACAGGATGCACCTGAGCTCAATTTTGAGTCTCATAGCAAAGGGTCTGAATACTTATGTAAAAAAGATATTTCTGGTTTTTATATTTAACACATTTGCAAACATTTCTAAAAACCTGTTTTCGCTTTGTCATTATGGGGTATTATGTGTAGATTGATGAGGATTTTATTTTATTTAATCAATTTTAGAATAAGGCTGTAATGTAACCAAATGTGGAAAAAGTCAAAGGGGTCTGAACACTTTCCGAAGCCACCGCATGTCTGCAGTGTGTGTGTCTGTGGGATGGCACTGTATCTGCAGACCAGCTATGCCACCAGTCGTCTCCGCATTGGAGCATAATTACAGCTGTGCCAGTCTGTCATTACACTGGGACAAAGCTATTGCTGGGCTGCTGGAGGTAGCTGACAGGCTCACTCACACACAGACGTTCATAAATGCAGCAAAACACTCACTGACTTCAACGTGCACAGTGACACTCTCAGCCCCTTCTGTCTGTACCGGAAGCTTGCAGTCTGGACAACCACACTAGCTACTCTCATCAAGTGTCTATATATAGGATCGTACAAAAGGCTGATGTATTTCTGTCAGTGTGGAGCGAGAGAAGACAGACTACTGTCTCCTAATGACCAAAGTGGTAGTTATATGAGAGAATGAAAGAAATGAAGATTAGATTTCTTTCTCTTCCAGAGGAGAGTGGCGTCTTCACTCCAAAGAGGGGCGCCCGGTGCATTAGGCTCCACATTATTGAACGCACACGCACGCATGCACCAAACGCACGCACACAAACACGCTAGTGCTCACATAGACACACACACACACACACACACACACACACACACACACACACACACACACAGACACACAGTTCCATTCTGGCTTAGAACGCAGTCTCTCTCTCTCCAACAAAGCTTCTTCTCAAAACATCTTGAGACTTACATAAACAATAACATAACATTACTCTGACACGGTCTCTCTCTTACTCACCCCCCCTCCCTCACACACACACACACACACACACACACACACACACACAAGCAACCCGTTCCCTATCCCGACCACCCCAACACACACACACACACATGCCCCCACACCACTGCCTTCTCCGTCTTTGATCACTGGTCCAGTCTTCTCTCTGGAGCCCCAGTCTGAATTCCTTCCTATCATTCTGGGATAATTCAAACGTTTCCTGGTACATATGAGACAGCGTACACCACCACGATCCCTGGCTTTCCTCTCTCCTCCTCCTCTCTCCTCCTCCCTCTCTCCTCCTCCCCTCTCCTCCTCCTCTCCCTCCATTGTCTCTGGTCTTTAATCAGGCCACCGTGGTGCGTTGTCTCGGCCTGGGAAAATGTCTCGGCCGCGGTCCTAAGTGTCTGTTAGGAGATATACCAGAGATCACTGGGACTGTGAGGGATGCAGTGTGCGTGTGTGTGTGTGTGTGTGTGTGTGTGTGTGTGTGTGTGTGCGTGCGTGCGTGCGTGTTTGTGTGTGTGTGTGTGTGTGTGTGTGTGCATGTGTGTTTACGTGTGTGCGTGTGCGACTGTGCGTGTGTTTGCATTCGTGTGTGTGACTGGAGTCCTTTGTGCCAGCTTACCGTATAACAGCACTCTGGGTGACGAGGGTGACCATACTCTAGATTGTGGCTCATCACACTATCTGGTATGATATTTAGCTAGCTGTGTTTATTTGCTGTAATGTTCGTGAATAGACTAACAGCTAGCTAGTTATATAACTTAAATATCTCTTCTACTTTACTAAATTCTGAACAGAACATCACAGCTAAGCAATTCGTTAGACAGCTGAGTGCGTTGTATTCGTGGGTCGTTGATTTATCATAATAAATGGTTTTGGAGCTGGCAGTGCCCGCAAATGCAGGCCCATTGCTTCACCGCTCCCATCCAGCACATTGAGCGTATTTTCCGAGGTGAGGATCAGCTACGGATCCGCTGAGTCAAACTGCGATAGCACAAATATCAGCACCAGCAATATATTCATAGGGCACCAAGGCAAAAGATTACATAGTGTCCTTAACTTCACCAGCTCACCGAAAGAAGAGCGTCTAACGTTGGCTTTACACAAACAGCTGCGCTGAAAGTCAGCCATCGAGTACGATTCTCAGGCTGAGGTGGAGGTGAGGGAGCACGTGGTGGACATCTCAGGTGGTGAGAGGAACGTGATGACGGCATGGTCGACGGCGGAGAAGATCAACATGGAGAAACACCCATGCAGGGAAGACTGAGTACCCAGCAGCCCAGCGGGGAGTCAGAGGAGGGAGGCAGCTCAGAGAGCGAGTCAGTGCCACCAAGCCTCACCGGCAGCTCTGTCGCTCTCCATGCCTGGACCGGCCCAGCTTCTCCCAGAGCAGCACTCTACCGGAGCTCAGCCCCGACGACACCAAGGCCGCCGCAGTGCTCAAACATGCCAGCGACAAGGAGTACCAAACCAAGACGGAGTTTGCCTTGAAGCTGAAGCTGGGATACTCAGGTGAACAGGTGGAGACAGTGCTGAACAAGTTAGGGGCTGCTGCCCTCATCAATGACATTCTGGCGGAGCTTGTAAGGCTTGGTAATAAAGGAGAACCGGAAGTTCAAGCCAGCGTTAACACCGGCACGTTGGTCTCCCGTGGAGGCCTCTGTGTCAAAGAGGCTGTCAGTCCGGAGGGTGTCACTGGAAGATGATTCCGTGGATCCTTATGATAATCTCAGGCCTCTTTGTCATTGACGGATCAAATGTGGTGATGAGCCATGGAAACAAAGAGGTTTTCTCTTGCCTTGGTATCCAATTGGCTGTTGACTGGTTTGTGGAGAAAGGCCACAAAGACATCACAGTGTTTGTTCCTGCCTGGGGGAGAGAGCAGTCGAGGCCTGATGCCCCCCATTTCAGACCAAGACATTTTGCGGAAGCGAGATAATAATAATAATAATATGCCATTTAGCAGACGCTTTTATCCAAAGCGACTTACAGTCATGTGCGCATACATTTTTACGTAATGGGTGGTCCCGGGGATCGAACCCACTACCCTGGCGTTTCAAGCGCCGTGCTTTACCAATTGAGCTACAGAGGTCCACAAAAAAAAAGATGAAGAAAATATCCTAGTGTTCTATCTCCTTCCCATCTAGAAGTGGTGTGCTACGATGATCGCTTCATAGTGAAGCCGGCCTGTGACTCTGATGGCATTACTGTGTCAAATGACAACTACAGGGACTCACAGAACGAGAAGCCGGAGTGGAAGAAGCTCACAGAGGAGCGGCCGCTGATGTACTCGTTTGTCAATGATACATTCGTGCCACGTGATGATCCTTTAGGAAGACATGGTCCAAGTTTAGAGAATTTCCTTCGCAAGCGTCCTGTTGTTCCAGAGCATAAAAAGCAACCCTGTCCATATGGGAAAAAATGCACTTATGGACATAAGTGCAAGTACTATCACCCAGAGCGTGCAAACCAGCCTCAGCGGTCAGTGGCTGATGAACTGAGGGCGTTTGCCAAGTTGTCTGCTGTGAAGAGAATGAGCGAGGGGGCCCTGGCCAAGTGTGGCACTGGACCCACCACAGCTAAGGGGGACAGTGGCTCTGAGGCTAAACTTGTGGCCCCCAAGCGCCAGTCCGATCCTAGCATCCGCTCAGTGGCCCTGCGAGCCAGAGGAGAGACTGTCTGCTGTCCGTAAGCCCGAGGCGAATTCTGTGCCTTCCCTCGTGTCTGCCCTCAGCGTGCCCACCATGCAGCCTGCCAAGAGCCACGCGGCTGGTGCTTTGAACACGCGATCAGCCAGGCCGGCTCCCTCCAGTTCACCCACAGCTCCCCTGGAGCACATGTCTAGTGTACAGCACCCACACCCACCCATCCTAGTCAACCAACAGCCACGGCGCTTTCCGTCACTTACAGTGAACAGTTTCCTAAGTACGATTCTGTGCGCACGGACCACGGATACTGCTCTATGCTTAGTGATTTTTCTAACATGAACATGAGCGGCATGCACAACGTGGACAGCTTCTGTAGCATGGAGCATGAGCACGGGGTTTATCGGAGAAATCCCAGCCAGCATTGCCCTGAGCCCTGCCTCAGCCACTCCAACAGTGACTCCTTCTCCTCTTATGGGGAATTATACATGAGCTCAGTGGACAGTAGCCTGGATGAGAGCATGAAGGGGCGGCAGCAGCAGTCTCCTGCACAGAACAGACTCCAGGCCTTCTCCCATGGGGGGGGGGGGGGGGGTTCCACCACGAAGCACTGACCCGGGTGCAGAGCTATGGCCCTGAGGAGCCTAAGCAGGGTCCAAGTGGGAAGCAGTCCATATCCCACCTGGCACCCTGTTGTTGGGGCCACGTCCAGCTGCCCATGGGGACTACCCCTTACCTCAGAATGTCCTCCCGTCACAGTCCTCGCAGCCGGGACGCTCCCTGGGCATGACACGCATGGACAGCATCTCAGACTCCAGGCTGTACGAGAGTGACCCCCATGAGGCAGCGGAGACCCCCCCACTGTGCCGCGAACAGCACGCCAGCTGGGAATCCTATGGATACCACTCGTACCCCCACTGAGTAACAGCCTGATGCAGCCGTGTTGTGAGCGGGTGATGGTCCGCAGCATGCCTGACAAGATGGAGCAGATCTGTGGGAGAACCCGCCTCAAGCTGAGCACCAGGAGCGCCACGTCATCCCAGAGCACCAGTACCAAACATACCGCAACCTCTGCAACATCTTCCCCGGGCTTTCGTGGTGCACTCTTGTCATGGAGGAAAAACCCTCATCTATTGGACCCACAACAACTTCGCTGCCGTCATTGTCACGAAGCTGAGGTCTTGCCATTAAGTGTTTTCATTTCATTTTTTGAAGCGACAATTGTCTGAATAGTATTATTTGATTGTCATCCAAACAATTTCTCCTCATGAAATTCAGAATCCCAAAATCATTGTAATCAAATGTAAGGGAAAACTTTGATGGTAATACTTTAATTTAAACGTCATCCATCATTTGATACATTGAGGAATTAGTTCACTATACCTACATCCTCTGTAGCTCAATTGGTAGAGCACGGCGCTTGTAACGCCAGGGTAGTGGGTTCGATCCCCGCGACCACCCATACGTAAAAATGTATGCACACATGACTGTAAGTCGCTTCGGATAAAAGCGTCTGCTAAATGGCATATCATTATTATATTACATAATATTGTGCATATCTGATATGATGTAAATACTATGGGACTTCATCGTTTATTGTGCAGTGATTTGTGGTAAATGACAGAGAGACGTGAGTGCAACCGTACCTCAGAGCATGAACTTTGACATTTTAACGGTCTTATATCTGAATGACCTCACTGCTCCAGTCATTGTTTAATGGATTTCAATGAATATCCTAATGTAGTCGAGGTCAGTCTCTTTTGCTTTTTTAAATGTTAAGCTAATGTAAGTATTTAGAATGATGTACATTTTCTCAATCTCACTTTACAAAGCTACTATTTGGGTAGAACTTGCGTATATAAGCAAGCCAAACTAGGACTAGGAAAGATCAGACTTAAAAAAAAAACTGTGACACATATGACACATGAAAGCCATTTCAAAGCTGCTGAAATAATGCAAAAAAAAAGATAGATAATTGACCATGTCATTATAAACCGATTAAAGTTTTGATGCAGACAATTGATTGGATAATAGTGTAACATCACCCCAGTGTTGTGAGCCTTTCCTATTGGTATATTGTATGGCTTGCTGTGTTGATTGGTTACACTGATGTAACTGGTACACGGACGTTATTGGAACCATTTTGAGCGTGTTTTATATCATTGGGACGTTGGCATGTGACTTAATGGCACGGGATGGCACTTCCGTTGTGTCTAACGTGACTTATATTTGTAATTACTAAGGAACTGGTGAAAGTCTCCTTGGCGAAAAGCTTTAAAGAAAAGCATCCGTTTCATTTACATTTACATTTGCATCATTTAGCAGATGCTCTTGTCCAGAGCGACTTACAAATTGGTGCATTCAACTTATGATAGCCAGTGGGACAACCACTGGGGAAGAAGGATTACTTTATACTATTCCAGGTATTCCAGGTATTCCTTAAAGAGGTTTCCTTATTAATGCTGAGAGAACCCATCTAAATGAACACGTAAAGAAAACAAAAAAACATTTCTGAATGTTATTTGCCCAAAATAATTTTGGGCCTTTGTTGACTTTTTTTTTTTTTTTTCATGAACTAAAAGCAGGCCATGTAGGACCTGTTGTCTCTTCGTGAGAAGGTGTGACACACTGCCTAAATGTTTCTTCCTGTGAAACACTCAGAATGCGAGGCTGCCGTCAGGGTTGTTTTCTGCCATTTGGCATTTTTCAGTGAGTAAAATATCGTGATCTGAAATCAAGGTCTTGGGCCATATCCCAATGCACATTAGTATTTAGTTTATTTTGACATAGCATGTGCATGTTTCATACTTTTGATGAGAGCAGAGAGCCCCCTCCCCCCTCCCCTTTTGAAGTGCCTTAAACAACAAAGCCTAAAATGTCTAGAAATGACCTTTTGTTTGTTGATACAAATTGTATCTATTTCTTGATTGTAAAAATATATTTATGAAAATGTACAGTATCGTGAAGTTTCATTTAAGAAAAAAAAAATATATATACAATGCCGTAATGTGTGTGACACTGTGCGTCACTGGGAGTAGTCCATTGGTATGTACCTTTTCTTACTGGGCACAGTCGTTTATTTACAGGGACACTTACGTGCTACATGGACGTGCATCGATACCCTGTGTGCAGCTGTAAGCATCGTGTCCTCTCTCTATGTGTGTTAATACTGAAACGACCACTCATTGTACAGTTTCAATGCTCTATTTAACTTGTTGCATCAAAGTTTTTTTTTGCTGTGTTGTAACCCAAGCAGCTTAGTAAGAAATGTGACCCCTCTCGAACTTTTCTTTATCCATATCTGCTCTATTCCTGCGTTGATACCCTCTATATTTAAATGTGTAAGTCGCTCTGGATAAGAGCGTCTGCTAAAATGACTGTAAATGTAAATGTAAAATGGTATTGGACAGGAAGGACAGAGGTATGGTGCCTTCTGATCACAGATGTGATTTTAGCCTCAGGGTGGCTGGAGAAACAACGGTAGGGTTACGAACCTGGGGCCTGATCATTGTCATGGTAAAATCGGTTTATGACATGCTTTGATCAATCAATCAATCAATCAATCAATCAATCAATTGATCTGTATTGTCCTTTTTACAAATGCATTAATTACAGAGTACTAATCAGCAACATAACAGATTGTCTCTATTGATGATCAACCCATCCACCTAAACTGTGGAGTATATAAGAAATACCCAATGCTAGTCTGGAACAAAGATTGGTCAGTCTACTAACTACAGAACTGACATGAGATGGAAAAATTACTGACATTCTGCAAACAGCTGACCATAACAAAATAGCTCCTGACTAAGATGGAGAAAACACAGGGTCAAGGAACCAGTAAGATCATGTGGTCAGGAAAAACTCTGGTCTCCTAGTTCTCTGGGGTGGTAGAACTCTGCTCCGTCATGAACGGGGACACACCATACATAGTGCCTCCACACCACCTCCCTCCATCCCTCCACCTCTCCCTCCACCTCTCCCTCCACCGCTCCATCCCTCCCTCCACCCCTCACCAACTCCCCCCCCACCTCTCCCGCACCCCTCCACCCTCCCTCACCCTCCACCTCACCCGCTACCCACCAGCCTCCACCTCATCCCCCAACCCTCCCCATCCACCCAACTACACCTCCCACTCCCCCAAGCCCTCCACCTCTCACCTACCCAACCGCCCTCCACTACACCTCTCCCTCCATCCCTCAACCATCCTCACCTCCATCCCTCCACTCCATCCCTCCACCTCTCCCTCCACCTCTCCCTCCATCCCTCCACCTCTCCCTCCATCTATCCCTCCACCTCTCCCTCCACCCCTCCACCTCTCCCTCCATCCCTCCCTCCATCCCTCCATCAGGCCAAGTTTCCAGGGATGGGGAGTTTGAGGACACACCATAGTGGTGGTTTACACTGGGTTATATTTAGGGTTATGAGCGTGAATGGAGTTGTTATGGGGCTCCATAAATTTCATTTTCAAAAGGGGGTATGGCGGCCTGATGTACGCCTACTCAGTGGTTTCCTCAGGCCCACCACCAAGCTTTGTGTGTGTGTGTGTGTGTGTGTGTGTGTGTGTGTGTGTGTGTGTGTGTGTGTGTGTGCCTTTGTGTTCTGCCTAGTTTACCACGGGAAAATCTCTACAACAAGTAATACGTCCACCGCCCAGTCGAACCCAGGACCCCTCGGTGTAAAACACACTTCAGAGGGTTTTTAGTGGATTGTGCTGAAAGGGTGCGGTCGGTGCACCCTCAAATAAACTATTTGTTTACTTTCGCTCTGTCCGAAAATAAAAAAGGGAACTAGTTTTACTCTGGAACAAAAGGCAAATGAACGTGCATTCCTCAGACGACAATGTGGCAGGCGCATAGGAGGGTGTGAGGTAGGGCGTGAGGTAGGGCGTGAGGGCGCGGGCTGCCTGTGGTAGCAACAACCTCTTGGAGCTGGTGTAGGTCAGAAAGAAATGGATAGAGTTCAGCTTCCTAACCTATCTGAAAGGAATGGATAGAGTTCAGCTTCCTAACCTATCTGAAAGGAATGAATAGAGTTCAGCTTCCTATCCCAGTCAGAGTTACTCCAACTCAGGCGCTCTATCCCAGTCAGAGTTACTCCAACTCAGGAAATGCCTCACTGGCATTGTGTGTATTTGCTCAACATTCATGAACTGCAATAACTACATTTCAGAACTGTAAACAACTGAAATGGAATGGACCCCATCCCTGTTTTACCAAACAGGTTAAAGAGAAACACAGGCAACAACCGTATTTGCACATAGAGGTTCATCACTCGATTATGTTGTTGGTTAACGCAGTGATTTTCTGCCCTCTAGTGATGATAAAGAAAACTACAGGATAGAACTTTAAAATCGCAACCCCCCCCCCATGTCTAATTTAACATGATGTGATTGGCTGAGCGCCGACACCTGACATTTCTCTCGTCTCTCATTGACCGAATCTTGTGACTCTCACACAGAATGGAGAAATGAGGAAGTGGGCAGTGGTTGTTGTGGTTACCTAGCTGCTGAGGCTACAACAGCATATCAACTTGTGTGTTTACTTACGACTACTTTCAACGTTTAGTCAGGTAACGTTTTTTTTTATACTTGTTTAAATGTTTGTCTTGTATGTTCATTTGTACGGCATGTTTGATAAATGTAACGCTAGCTAGCTATCAATACATATGTTTTTGCTTAGCACGCTAGCTAACTGACAGTGTATTCTAGCATAGACAGTTAGGGTTAGTAGTTATTCATGTATTTGATTCTAGCTAGCTACAAAATACAGCTACTTCTTCATCTGTGATTCTACATAAGGTACTGGTGACTGGAGTGGAGAAAAACCTTTCTCCTAGCTAGGTACTATCTCTTGAGTTTAGAGCTTTCTCCTCGGAGACTTTCTATGGTTATCAGTTGTGATTCTTCTCTTCTAGGAAGGGTGGGGGTAGTTTGGTTGTAGACTCACATGAATGTACTGCGCAAGGAGGTCAAGGGCCTGGGGTGGAAGGTTGAGGAGAGTGAACTGGCAAGGGGTTTGTTAATAATACAGTAGTTAGCCTATTCGTTAAATATCGATCTGCTCACCCAATAGCTCTCTTCTCTACTCTCCTCTCTTCTCTCGCAGTCCACTTCATCTCTGAGCACTATGGGCTCGGCTCTAAGTCCCTCTCATTCGTACACCTCTCATTCTGTCACCCTCTCTCTCTCCTCTCTCTCTCTCTCTCTCTCTCTCTCTCTCTCCTTTCTCTCCCTCTCTCCTCTCTCTCATCTCTCTCTCTCTCTCTCTCTCCCCAGGTTTCCTCTCATTCTGTCACCCCTCTTCTCTCCCTCCTCTCTCTTCTCTCAAGTCCCCTCTCATTATGTCCCTTTCTCATTCATGTCCCTCTCTCTCTCTCAAGTCCCTCTCCCTTCTGGCCCTCTCTCTCTCTCTCTCAGTCCCATCGCATTCTGTCCCCTCTCTTCTCTCTCAGTCCCCTTCTCATTCTGTCCACCTCCTCTCTAGTCCCTCTTCATTCTGTCCATCTCTCTCTCTCAGTCCCTCTTCATCCTGGTCCCTCTCCTCTTCTCGTCAGTCCCTCTCATTCTGTCACCCCTCTCTCTCTCAGTCCCTCTCATTCTGTCACCCTCTCTCTCTCTCTCAGTCCCTCTCATTCTGTCCCTCCTCTCTCTCTCAGTCCCTCTCATTCTGTTCCCACTCTCTCTCAGTCCCTCTCATTCTGTCCACCTCTCTCTCTAGTGCCCAATAAGCAGCGTTGTGAAGATGGAGGTATCAGGCTACCACTCCATGCTGTCTTAACTCTCTTCTCTCTCCTCCCTGGCTCTATCTATCTATTTTTATCTTTTATCTTATCTGATCTATTAGAAAGAACTGTGAAGAGGTGTTGTGGAGATGGAGGTGTCAGGCTACCAGTCCAAGCTGCTGTGTGAGCTCAATGTGCAGCGGAAGAGAGACTTCTTCTGTGACTGCAGTATAGTCGTTGAGGGGCGGGTCTTCAAGGCCCATCGCAACGTCCTATTCGCCGGCAGCGGCTACTTCCGCGCCCTATTGGTCCACTACCTACAGGTGAGTTGTTTATGAAGTTTACCTGGTGCTGATGCAGAATACATAGTTAAGGAGCCTGAGTATTGTTTTACCTGGTGCTGATGCAGAATACATAGTTAAGGAGCCTGAGTATTGTTTTACCTGGTGCTGATGCAGAATACATAGTTAAGGAGCCTGAGTATTGTTTTACCTGGTGCGTTCACTTGTTAAAAAAAAAAGGGAGATTGATAATGGCTATAGTAACCCAGTTGGCAAAGGCACTCCAATTTTTTTAAATGGAAAGGACACTGGTATGGGTAAACTCTAATCTCTAATCTAAGCTTTAATCTAAACTCTAATCTAGTTTATAGCCTGTTTACAGTATGCCTTACTTCCTTGAATCGCTCCACCACCCTCCTCAGGACAGCGGTCAGCACCACAGCACGGCCTCTCTGGACATCGTGACGGCCGAGGCCTTCTCCTCCATCCTGGACTTCCTGTACTCGGGCCGACTGGACCTGCGCAGCGAGAACGTCATCGAGGTGATGTCAGCGGCCAGCTACCTCCAGATGACTGACGTGGTCTCCTTCTGTAAAGGCTACATCCGCTCCTCTCTGGAGATCTACAATAGGGATAATGAGGGGGAGAGAGAGAGAGAAGGGGAGAGAGAAAGAGAGAGGGAGAGAGACAAAGGGAGGGAACGGGAAAAAGAGAGGGAGAGAGAAAGGAGAGGGAGAGAGACAAAGGGAGGGAACGGGAAAAAGAGAGGAAGAGAGAAAAAGAGAGGGAGAGAGAGGGTCCGGCTGACAGTGGAACCCCAGCCTTGCCACCTCCCTCTTCCAGTGCCTCTGTAGCTGTAACTGTTCCTCCGTTGTCACTAGAGGGAGATGGAGTTACTAATGTAAATTCAGAGCCCTCCCCATCCACTGTCACAGACCCGCCATCCTCAGCAGCCCTCCCCAGTGTCCCCACGCCCTCCGGCCCCTAGCAGGGACTCGGAGAGCGACGACTGCAGCTCCAGAGGGGAGTTCCCATCTCATACTATCGGGGGCCGGACCCCCCACGGACACAGGGACCACCCGACGAACCCCCTTTCCTCCTCGACCTCTGGGTTGACCTTAGAACTGGTGCTCCCCAAGATCGAGTACGACCCCGATGACGAGCCCGAGGAGGGGTCCCCCGATACCAAAGACCTGCCATTGTTTATGGGACCCCCCCTCCACACCCACCACGCAGACCACCTCCATGACAGGCTGGCGTCCCCCAGCCCTTCCCCCAGCAGCGAGCGCTCCTCCCTGGGCTTCGGGGGCTGCCACGCCAGGCAGTTCGTGGATGTGCTGTTGAGAGGTGGCTCCAGCCCCCAGAGGGACAGAGGGGAGCAGGGCCTGATGTTTGCCCAGGGAATGGGCCTCTGGGGTGGGGGAGGCAGGGTGGATGAGGGCCTGGGGATGGGTGGTTCCTCCATAATGGAGATACAGAGCGACTGGTACGGAGAGGACACAGGTAATTACATTCATTTAGTTTTAACTCTATAAGGCTTTATATTAAACTTTACTTTCTTCTTGTTTCTTCCTACATATGGCGTTTTTTTCTTACCACTATCAGGCTTTGACTTTTAGGGGTTTAGGCCTGGGTTTCTTTCTGCTTTCGTGACAAGAAGATTTGCTTTAAAAAAGACCATATAATATTGTGACATTATATTAACTTTGTAACATCGTCCTAAAGGACTAACTCATTAATTCTGCAGGTGATGTCTTTCTTGGTGGTGCCAGTTTGTACTGTATAGTGATTGATTCATTGTTTGATTGACTTTTCTCCCCTGCAGGAGATGGCTTGGTGGTGCCGGTGAAGCTCCATAAGTGTCCGTTCTGCCCGTACACTGCCAAGCAGAAGGGCATCCTGAAGAGACACATCCGCTGTCACACTGGAGAGAGACCCTTCCCCTGTGAGACATGTGGCAAGAGGTTCACACGCCAGGAGCACCTCCGCAGCCACTCACTCAGCGTAAGAGGGAGGGAGGGAGTGGTGTGTGTGTGTGTGTGTGTGTGTGTGTGTGTGTGTGTGTGTGTGGTGTGTGTGTGTGTGTGTGTGTGTGTGTGTGTGTGTGTGTGTGTGTGTGTTGTGTGTGGTGTGTGTGTGTGTGTGTTGTGTGTGTGTGTGTGCGCGCGTGTGTGAAAATACAAAAACACTCAGAGACACTGATCTTTCTAAATGACCATCTCTCTGTCTGCCTGTCACTGGGTCTGTCTGTGTTTGCAAGCCATTTGGGTTCTTCATATTGAGGATACACCATCGTCATGTCTGTGTTTGTCAGTCTTGTCCGTGTAAAAATGTGTTTTATGTACTTTCTTTGGGGGGGGGGGGGGGGGGGGGGGGGGGGGGGGGGGTTAGATCAGCTTATTATTGCAGATAGATTGTGGCTTCTATCAATGTAATTGTTTGCATCATTGTCTGCACCAATCCCCATATTTTTGTATATATATATATATTTTTTTTTTTTTTTTGGTGGGTATATTTCCTTCTTTATAATTTTCCCCTAACCCTACCACCCCTCCCCTAATTGGAGTAAACTAATGGACAACAACACTTAGGCTTCTACTTCCAGATTATACATACTATAGACATTTTACAGACACAGTGTATTTGACATTAGTTATCTATTTATTGTTTATCCTTCAGCCTCCCTCAACCCTTCCCATCTATCGCTGTAAACCTTCCAGTTTTCACAAAGGTTCTGAACCTTTCTATTCTCATAGTTTCTACAGATTGTAAATTTTAAAGATGATCATTTTTTTTATTTAAAAGTATTATTATAATATTGATTAATTGACAATGGCTTTGAGTCACCCAGCAGTGCTGTCTGCAGGGTTAGCTCCAGGTAAATGTTGCAATTCGTCAGCCATTCCTGAACCTGCAACCAAAAACAAGCTACATATGGACAGTACCAAAACAAATGATCTAATGATTTTCTTCGCAGCAAAATCTGCAGAGCTGGGATGGTTGTATCCCCCATATATATAACATTCTATTGGTTGCAATAATTTGGTATAATCATTTAAATAGAAAAAAGTTTTGAATCTGGCGTTGTTTTGTGTATCAGTTCATAAACCATGTGCCATCGAATCGGTACATCGAAAATCTCCTCCCAACTATTTTGCAACCTGTACGGTGCAGCTGTACATTTTCTTTAACCAATTTGGGTCTTTAATGCCGACGAACAAGTGATCTACCTTCTCCCCCTTCCACTTGCCTCCTCCATTTTTGTGGTAACGCTGCAATCATTTTGTTGTAATATTTTATAGAGCAGACATTTCCAGATATTTTTTAGCTGCACGTGTGACATAACTCCACCAGTCCTATTTATGATATAATTTACAAAGATTATACCATTTTTAAAGTTTCTTCTGAAAATAATATTTGTTTTTGTCAATTAGTATGTTTAACCATTTATATTTGTAGTAATATTTGTTCTGTCTTTTGTGGTGGATTAAACTGAAATTGCAACCAACTTTCTATGGATTGTTTTTAAAAAAATAGCGATATTTTGGAGATTTCCTTTTCAAATAACTGAAAGTGAGAGGTTGTAATCTGAATAAAGGGAAAAAGGCCATTTTTTAAACACGGGGTGAGACATTCTTACTAATCTGCTAGAGAACCAGTTCGGATTTAAATATAACTTTTGTATGACTGAAGCCTTTAGTGAGAGGTTCAATGCTTTTAATAATTTCAGCCCTCCGAATTCATATTCATTATATACTGTAGTCTTTGTGTATAGATGTGAGTGTGTGTGTGTGTGTGTGTGTGTGTGTGTACTGATTGATGTTGACGTGTCTTTGTCTCTGACACCCAGGTGCACCGCTCCAGTTGGCCCGTGGTATGTAAGGGGTGCAGGTGTAGCTTCACTGGAGCCCTGTCCAACGGACTCAAACGCTTTGGCCTGTGTGACAACTGTACCTGTGTTAATACCACGGGCCACGACGACCACTCACCTCCCGCCCACATCAACCTCAACGGCCAACCAGAGGCCATGGAACGCGGGGACGGAGACAGTGATTGGCCCAGGTTCATGGATGATGCTGATGACATGGAGGCAGGGGGAGGGATCATAGAGGAACTGGGGGAGAAGGGGGAACTATACAGACGACTGTCAGAGATCCCATCCACAGTGGACATGAAGGAGAGGAGACAAGGAAAGGAAGAATTGAACTTTCAGACACAGTTTTAATCCCATCTTGCCGTCTACCTCCCCCAGTGGTTTAATAGGGGAACAATCCATGTCTGAGACAGATGTCCATGTTAACTTTGTATTGGCTACTATTTTGGACCAAAATAACTATGGTACAGAATTGCATGACCGTAAGAGGACTGGGTTTTCCCTAGGAGAAAGACATCTCTTCTAGTTGACTTGGTCATGGTGGCACAATGCACCAGGTGATGTTATACCACAGCAGTTTGTTCTCCACGGAAACAGCAGACATCTTGTCCTCAACAGCCCTCATCAACTCAAAGGAGATGTGTCGCGCTGCATGGTGGTCACTCTAGATACTGACTGGTTTTCTGATCCACGCCCCTACCTTATTTTGTTAAGGTATCTGTGACCAACAGATGCATATCTGTATTCCCAGTCATGTGAAATCCATAGATTAGGGCCTAATTTATTTATTTAAATTGACTGAGTTCCTTATATGAACTGTAACTCAGTACAATCTTTGAAATTGTTGCATGTTGCGTTAATATTTTTGTTCAGTGTATATTTCAGGATGTTGTGTATCTCCGGAAATAATCAGAATTCATGTAAATTCATCATGTACAGTTTTAAAAACAGAGCTTATCCAAAAAAAGGTGGTCTCTTGGCCCAACTTCCTCCGGGTACGAGGTAAATTGAGACGCGGGACAGGGTGAATTAATCCGCCTACAAATGTCTGTAATTAATGAAATATTACCACTGCCTTTTTTAAAACCATGTCTATCTTTATTTCCCAAACACAATTCAAGACAATCACAATAGCTTTTTTTTTTTGGTCTTGTAATAATTTTAAAGCATATTTTAACACAGGCTTAACACCTAACAAACACTTGATACTTTTAACATAGGCCAGGCCCTGTTGCTACCTCACATCCCAGTGATAACGCCCTGCAGTACGCCTGGGAAGAAAACACTTACATTAGCTCAACTTGCCACTGGCTCAACCACTGGATCAACTTACATGGCAAACATGTTAGCCCACGCAGCTACAAGGATGCACTTTCATGCTAGGTTTAGGACCTCATATTGAGGCTTATAGAGACCCCCCAACTGATGTATTGAACGATCTTTAAATGATCTACTTTGGTTTAGATACAAGCATCATGAAACCTCTTAACACAGTAAATACATTTGACTCGGGTGAAAAATAGTTTTTTTGGGATCTAACTTGCTTACCACTTTTTCCCATGTGGTTTCTTCCTTCACAGACTCCATGAAATGATGACCTCTTCCTAAATATTTGGTGTGGTGCCAGGTAAACAACCTCTCCCCTCAACATCAGCAAAACAAGGGAGCTGATTGTGGAGTTCAGGAGGAACCAGGCTGGGACCTCCCCTCATCCTCATCAACCCCTGTGAACATTCCCCAATGGACTCTTACCCCACAGTTGTCAATGTGTATATTTGTATTATTATTATTTTGTCTCTTTTTATTTATTTTACTTTTTCATTTGACCTGCCAGGAGCCAGGAGCATAAGATGTTCACGGTACCCTGCAATTACATCTGCATCCCTGTACAAATGACTAATAAAATCTATCTATCTATCCACCCACCCACCCCTTTGGCTCAACTTACCCCACTCTCCCTTACCTATAATTCAGTCATTGTAAAATTCACATAAACAGTGTGTTAGCCTATACATTACGCCTATAGGTAAGTTATGAATGACCCCCCGTTGAAAGTGAATCAAAAGGATACAAATAGTGGAATCATGCCATGTTTGGACTACATAAACAAGGTCAGAATGTTGTTATATAATTTCAACAAAAGACAATTTATTTATTTGAAATCGCACTGTGGCTGTATTAGACTTTAGAATTGCGTTGTTGGCGTACCAAATCCATGAAATGGGGGATCGGCCTATTCAGTGAAACCCACAGATCACAATTCTGTAGAGTTGACACAAACTAGTGTCCTAGCTCATATTAGGGAACTTTAGCTGTGGGAAATCACCTGCCCAGTCAGCCTGTTGTGCATATTGAACATTCATATTGCAATGTACAGCCTTACCTATGGATGTCGGGTACATGATACAGCCTTCCCTATGGATGTCGGGTCCATGATACAGCCTTCCCTATGGATGTCGGGTACATGATACAGCCTTCCCTATGGATGTCGGGTCCATGATACAGCCTTACCTATGGATGTCGGGTACATGATACAGCCTTACCTATGGATGTCGGGTACATGATATTGGGCTATCAGCCTAGTCAGTGAAACCCACAGAACAGAACTGACGAGTTTTCACAAATATTAGCGTCGTACAGTGTCTCTTATTGCGGGACTCTGAAACCACTGTGAAATGAGCCACATTATACAACCGGTGGGTCTAATCCTGAATGTTACTGGGTTTAAAAGTCCCGGTAGCTCAGTTGGTAGAGCATGGCGCTTGCAACGCCAGGGTTGTGGGTTCGATTCCCCACGGGGGGGGGGGGGCAGTATGAAAAAATGCATGCTCTCACTAACTGTAAGTCGCTGGATAAGAGCGTCTGCTAAATGACTAAAATGTAAATGAAAACCGCATTCCAGCCGGTGTCTATTCCACAAGTTACCACCGGCTAAATCTATGACGTTAAAATGCCTATTTACTCTGCGCCATCCACTGTCTCCTCAACCCAGCCAGGCACTTTATAAACTTGATCTCCACCATAAAAAGCATCTAGACATTATCTCACATTTCTTTTAGACTAACATTGAGTTTTCTACAGCGGAGATTTGTATAAACCTTGCTGTCTGTCTCTCCGACATTTGCAACATTGTTTCAATTTTCAAATTCGATCTCCATAGCATCTGTCCCATAGTAATGAACGTCGGGCGGCAGGTAGTTTAGTGGTTAAGAGCGTTGTGCCAGTAACCGAAAGGTCGCTGGTTCTAATCGCCGAGCCGACTAGGTGAGAAATCTGTCGATGTGCCCTTGAGCAAGGCACTTAACCCTAATCGCTCTGGATAAGAGCATCTACTAAAACGTGTCGGGAGTAGAGAGGAGGCAGGCGGGCAGCGTTTCTCAGCCAGTCGAAATCATGAATCCGCTGGCATCATTTTTATGGATACAAACAAAGAAATGTCAATTGAAAAAAGGTAAAAACGTGCAGTTAGTTTGCAGTCTTTCCAGCTTCAGTTTGAAGTGATTGTGTTCGTTGTGTTGTTGGCTAGCTCCTCTGAACAACAGTGTCCTGATGTGAGCACATTTTAATCGTGCCTCATTAGCTCATTGTTATGGATGTGTTCAAATAAATGTTAGTGGAAAACAGCTTTAACAAATGCAAAATGCAGCTACTTTGCTGTTATTCTGGCTGCACTTTTTGACATGACTGTAAGTTAGCCGTAGTTGGCAAACTAGCGAGCAAAGGATAAGAATTTACAGCATCCGTGCCAATATATCCTCTAAACACCGGCTTCTCGGGCATTACCACTTCCTTATCTCACCAGTCAACCTACTGTGTATTGAACATTCATATTGCAATGTACAGCCTTGCCTATGGAGCTGTCAAATGAACTAATTATTGTATTTTGTTGAATTTATATAACAACATTCTGACCTTGTTTAGCATTATCTAGTTCAAATATGGCATGATTCCACTGTTTGTGTTGATTGAATCACTTTCAATTGGGGACTTTTATTTTCAAAGGCGAGTCGCGAATTTCACTATTGTGGCTAATCTTTATTGTCGCTAGCTTCACACGGGTGTTTTCACAGGTTAGTCCGACGGTAGTTATTCCTGTAAATCCACAATGGTTACTTCCGCCTCCAGTAGTTGATCTAGAAGTGTTGGAGAGACAACAGAAAGATAGGGAGTGGGTTGATCCATCTGATTTGTTTAAGGGACGTCTGGATACTGGGTATCAGGATTTTGTGGCTATTTACACAGATGGTTCAAAAGATCCAAGGACAGGACGTACTGGGTCAGCATTTGTAGTGCATGAATGTGGGGTGGAAGTCAGGAAACGTATTACAGATCATCTGGCTGTATATACGGCGGAGCTGATGGCCATACTGTTGGCCTTGCAGTGGGCGGAGCTGATGGACATACTGTTGGCCTTGCAGTGGGCGGAGGAAGTTAAAACAAGACAGAGTAGTTATTTGCTCTGATTCATGTGCAGTGTTAATGAGCCTCCAGTCCTTTAGCTCACGTAGCAGACAAGACCTGCTTTATGAGGTGCTACAAACCCATGGCAGGATTAAACAGATGGGTATACAGATCAGATGTACTTGGGTCCCAGCCCATGTTGGGGGTGGAGAGGAACGAGGAAGTAGATGAACTGGCTAAACAAGCACTTAGTAGTGGGGATGTTGATGTTGAAGTTTCAATGAGCAAGGCAGAGGCAAAAAGACTGATAAATACAGTGACGGTGCAGAGATGGCAGGAGCAGTGGAATAGAGATAATAAGGGAAGGCATTTATTTAAAGTACAGAGGAAAGTCGGGGAGGGGAGGACGGCAGGAAGGGACAGAAGAGAGGAGGCTATTTTGACAAGATTAAAGGTGGGACACAGCCGGTTGAAAAATACATTAAATGTGATAGGAAAGCATCCATCAGGAAAGTGTGATTATTGTCAGGAAACAGAGACCGTGGAGCATGTATTGCTACAGTGTGGGCAGTATCAGAGGGAAAGAGAGAGGATGAGATCTAGTATGAGGGAGAAGGGGATACAGGAAATTAGTTTAAAGAGTATATTGAGTAGAACGTCATTAGATAAAGTCTCAAATATGTTGTTATCTTTTTTAAGAGCAACGGGGCTGGCAGGTAGGATTTCGTTTCTCCCTGTCTCTGGTCCACACTCCAGTACAGTAGGTGGCGGTAATGCACCATAACGTTGGATGCCAACAGCAGATAAACCCCACTGAAGAAGAAGGTGTTTTCACCGCAACCGCACCGAAAAAAAGTCAGGTAAATGCCTGTCGTTACATAATGGGACATCATTAGCCTACGAAGTGTATTTAAGGGCAATGCCAGCGCCGTCTGCCTCACTTCATCATTCTGAAAGAACTGAAAATGATCTCTTTGATTTTTAGGAGTTTGTTACTATTTGCAGTGGTTGCAATCTCGCTGGGTAATGGAGCGCGGTATACGGCCAATTGGACAAGTATCGACTCCCGGCCACTACCCGTGTGGTACGATGAGGCGAAGATCGGGATTTTCGTTCACTGGGGGGTATTCTCCGTGCCCGGGTACGGCCAGTTTAGCGAGTGGTTCTGGTATTGGTGGAAAGGCGCACAGAGAGCGGCCGAGGTTGAGTTTATGAAGAAAAACTACCCCGTGGGCTTTACATACGCAGATTTCGCGCACGATTTCAAAGCGCAGTTCTTCGATCCTGATGAGTGGGCTGAAATATTTGAAGCTTCTGGAGCCAAGTAAGTCGCACACTGTTTAATTGTTAACCAATGGCTTACTTATTCAACTAGGCCTACTCAACACGAGTGCACGAACACTAAGTATTTGATATGGGTTGCATGTTAGGGCGGCAGGTAGCTTAGTGGTTAAGAGCGTTGTGCCAGAAACCGAAAGGTCGCTGGTTCTAATCCCCGAGCCGACTAGGTGAAAAATCTGTCGATGTGCCCTTGAGCAAGGCACTTAACCCTAATTGCTCCTGTAAGTCGCTCTGGATAAGAGCGTCTGCTAAATGACTAATTATTATAATTATTATGTTTTACTTCTCGATCACACCGACAGTATTATTGCGCAAAATGGTACGCAACATCATCTGGATATGTGTACAACAAAAGTTCAACATTCACCTTCTGCTACCATTTCTGTCAACCCGTCTATATATACAGTTTGATGCATACGTTCGATAAATCCAACGTATGCACCACACAGAACGCACTGCAACTGCCTCTGCAACGCAATGCTGCAAGGCAAACACAGCTTTCCATTTGAAATTAACGTACTACTGGTGTACCGAAATGTTTTGACGGTGTTGGTGTTATCGAGGCGTTATGCATAAGAAGCACTGAACCTATAGGCTATTAGTATGAATTGTCGTGAAAAGTTGAAATGGGCTTCTGCTAGCCAGTCTAGTTTATCCACATTTGCCTAAATTCAAATTAGGCACTGGGCAGAATTTTTTTGTTTTTTGTGAGCTGATGACATCCCAATGTTTAGCCCCTCTGCAATACATACACTGTGCATACAACATTTTTTTTTTTACATCATTGCCAGGTACGTGGTGTTCACATCCAAGCATCACGAGGGCTTCTGTAACTGGCCTTCTGCAGACTCCTGGAACTGGAACTCAGTGGATACTGGACCACACAGAGACCTGGTGGGAGACCTGGCAGCAGCCATACGCAAGAGGTACGACATCTTTCCTAGACACTGATCTCGGGTCAGTTTAGCGTCAGTTTAGCATTTTCCCCTCTAACGACTGGGGGGAGGGAAAAGCTGATCCTAGATCTGTCCCTAGCGGAAACCTCACCCCAGAGCCTCTTTCACCACAATACATGACCGTTCCCCTGGAATAGGTTACTCTGGTCAAACTGGTTTGGAAACCAAGGCCTGCATTCTCAAAGCTTCTTAGACTGTCTAGGTTCTAGGATCAGTGTTGACTTAAGGGGAGTAGACCTGATCCTACATAATCAATCCTACTCTGAGATACTTTGTGAATACCGGGCCCTGGTTGGTGTGTAGAATCTCAGGTCATACCAGCTCACACAACTTTTCACATACATATATTCTGTTTCCATAGGAAGGGACTGCACTTTGGCCTGTACCACTCCCTGTATGAGTGGTTTCATCCACTGTACCTGAAGGACAAAGCTTCCGGGTTCAAGACCCAGGAGTTTGTCTTCCGGAAGGCTCTTCCTGAGCTGATTAACCTGGTGATGACCTATAAACCGGAGCTGATCTGGTCCGATGGGGATTGGGAAGCTCCGGACACCTACTGGAACTCAACAGAATTTCTGGCCTGGCTCTACAACGACAGTCCTATCAAGGTGAGAGAGAGGCTGAGGGAAGATGCAATATGGCGGCGGCCCAAATGGTACCCTATTCACTTTGTAGTGCGCCACTTTTGACCAGGGCCCAATGGAGATAAGACAAATGATTGACATGAGCTTTTACCAGTTATTGTCTAGGTGCTAGCCGACGTCATGACATGGACTTAGAACTATGTATGTATGTCATGTGATATGTGTCACCTGAACTATATGTTAATTGAGGGGTGGAGTTAGAACTATGTATGTCATGTGATGTGTGTCAGTGTCACAAGATGCACCTGATCACATTTAGATCAGGTGACACATGTCACAACAAGACACAAGAACTCTCTCACCTTTTTTTGTCTTTTTTTTTTGTCTGAAACCGGTTAGGACAAAGGTTGTCTTGTAAATATGAACTGCACTACTGCCTCTTGTTAACCCAGAACAACACTGACCATTGTTTTCAATCTACTTCCCCAGGACTTTGTGGTTGTCAATGACAGATGGGGGAATGGTTGTTACTGCAAACATGGCGGCTACTACAACTGTGCAGACAGGTAGACTATTCTCTAGCACCAACAGTGAACTCTAGATCATACCTCCTTAGGCACCTACATTTACATTCAGGGGTTGGACGCAAAATTATTATCCAATCGTTTAATTTCCGACCAGCAAAATAAAGTTCTGAACCAGTTCCTGAAATGTAAAATAACGTTATTAACCGGGTTCCCATGCTTTTAAAAATAACGGTTCTGTTCCGGAACAGTATGGATCACTTTCGTTCCCGTTTCTGTTCCTTGAAAAATGTAGTTATTTTCGGTTCTGTTCCCCTGAACCGGTTCCAACCCGTTTACATTTTGGTGATTTAGCAGATAGTCTTATCCAGAGTGACTAACAGTCAGTGCATTCAACTAAGGTAGATAAATGTACTGTATAAGACATATGCCAATAGCTCCACCTTCTCTGATTAGGTGGATTTTTCCTAGACTCCTGCTTACAACTATTGGATTGTTACCTAGACTCCTGCTTACAACTATTCAATCATGTAGGATTTACACATGGAATTCAGAAACAGGCTGTCAGCCTTGGTAGCATATCAGACTTGCAGACAGTCTGAACCAGTGGGATGTGTGTGTTTTTTATATTTTACCCCCCAGGTTCACTCCAGGCTCTCTGCCTGACCACAAGTGGGAGAAATGCCAGTCCGTCGACAACCGCTCCTGGGGTTACCGTAGAAACATGATGCTCAGCGAGCTGATGGACCTGCCCACCATCATAACGGTTAGAGGTCACAGGAATTGAAAGTCATACTGAGGGGACAAACAAAACTGGGGCTCAGTTTGAATACTTTGGAATGTTCTTGTCCTCACTTCTCTCCTTACGGACTAATCTGACTCTAGTTTTATTCAGTGAGCTACGGCAATGTCCGTTACGTTTCTGCTCAATTTGTAACAAAGATCAGGATATGACCTCTGTCTCTCTGCACACGGATGACTGGGGGTGTCTATCTCTATTTCATAAACAGAGTTTTCACTAACTTGGTAAAATCTAAGTTTATTGACATCTCTCCCCGTATCATGTGTCTTTAGTGTGTGTGTGTGTGTGTGTGGTAGATACTGCCCGTGTCTCTGAGTAAGCATTCTCTTATCTCTTGTTCTTTCATCAGGACATGGTGTATGTGGTCACTATAGCTTGTGGATATGGAGTGTTTGGTAATGTCAGTTTAGTGATCTCTGTCCCCTGTATCTTGTTTCATCAGGACATGGTGTATGTGGTATCTTGTTTCATCAGGACATGGTGTATGTGGTATCTTGTTTCATCAGGACATGGTGTATGTGGTGGCCCTGGGGGGTAACTACCTGCTGAACATTGGTCCCATGGAGGACGGCATCATCTCCCCTCTCTTTGAGGAGAGGCTGAGGGGCATGGGGGCCTGGCTGGGGGTCAACGGAGAGGCCATCTACTCCTCCAAACCCTGGAGGATCCAGGGGGAGAACACCACCGTACCTGTCTGGTAGGAGACAATACAATAATACAATACAGTCTGGTAGGAGACAATACAATAATACAATACAGTCTGGTAGGAGGCAATACAATACAGTCGGGAGATGGACAATACAATATACCATACAGTCTGGTAGGAGGCAATCAATAATACAATACGTCTGGTAGGAGACAATACAATAATACAAACAGTCTGGTTAGGAGGCAATACAACTACAGTCTGTAGGAGGCAATACAATAATACAATACAGTATGGATAGGAGGCCAATACAATAATACAATCCAGTCTGGTAGGAGGCAATTACAATAATACAATACAGTCTGGTAGGAGGACAAACAATGAATACAATACAGTCTGGTAGGAGGGCAATTACAATAATACATACAGTCTGGTAGAGAGCAATACAATAATACAATACAGTCTGGTAGGAGGCAATACAATAATACAATACAGTCTGGTAGGAGGACAATACAATAATACAATACAGTCTGGTAGGAGACAATACAATAATACAATACAGTCTGGTAGGAGGACAATACAATAATACAATACAGTCTGGTAGGAGACAATACAATAATACAATACAGTCTGGTAGGAGACAATACAATACAGTCTGGTTGGAGACAATACAATACAGTCTGGTAGGAGGCAATACATACAGTCTGGAGGAGACAATACAGTCTGGTAGGAGCAATACAATAATTTAGACAATAAACGTCTGGTAGGAACAATACAATACAGTCTGGTAGGAGACAATATACAATACAGTCTGGTAGGAGAACAAATACAATACAGTCTGGTAGAGACAATACAGTCTGGTAGGAGACAATACAATAATCTGGTAGGAGCATACATACATACAGTCTGTAGGAACATACTGGAGAGCAATACAGTCTGGTGGAGACAATACAATACAGTCTGGTAGGAGCAATACAATACATCTTAGGGAATACAGTCTGGTAGGAGGCAATACATAATACAATACAGTCTGGTAGGAGGCAATACAATAATACAATACAGTCTGGTAGGAGCAATACAATATACAATACAGTCTGGTAGGAGACAATACATACAGTCTGGTAGGAGACATACAATAATACAATACAGTCTGGTAGGAGACATACAATAAACATACAGTCTGGTAGGAGCACATACAATGAACAATACAGTCTGGTAGGAGGCAATACAATCAGCTTAGGACAATACAGTCTGGTAGGAGGCAATACAATAATACAATACAGTCTGGTAGGAGACAATACAATTAAACATACAGTCTGGTAGGAGACAATACATAACAATACAGTCTGGTAGGAGACATACAATAACAATACAGTCTGGTAGGAGAGCAATACACGTAAAATACAATACAGTCTGGTAGGAGACAATATACAGTCTGGTAGGAGGCAATACAATAATCAATACAGTCTGGTAGGAGGCATATACAGTCTGGTAGGAGACAATACAGTGGAGACAATACAACAATACAGTCTGGTAGGAGGACAATACAAAATACAATACAGTCTGGTAGGAGACAATACATACAGTCTGGTAGGGGGAACAATACTCAATAATACAATACAGTCTGGTAGGAGACAATACAATATACAATACAGTCTGGTAGGAGAATACAATACAGTCTGGTAGGAGACAAATATACAATATTACATACAATACAGTCTGGTAGGAGCACAATACAGTCTGGTAGGAGACAATAACAACAATACAATACAGTCTGGTAGGAGACAACATACAATACATCTGGTAGGAGCAATACAGTCTGGTAGGAGACAATACAATAATACAATACAGTCTGGTAGGTAACAATACAATACAGTCTGGTAGGAGACAACAATACATACTGGTAGGAGACAATACAGTCTGGTAGGAGACAATACAATAATACAATACAGTCTGGTAGGAGACAATACAGTCTGGTAGGAGCATACAATAATACAATACAGTCGGTGAGGAACAATACATCAGTCTGGTAGGAGGTACAATACAGTCTGGTAGGAGACAATACAATAAACAATACAGTCTGGTAGGAGACAAATACAATACAATCGTCTGGTAGGAGACAATACAGTGGTAGAGAATCAAATACATCGTCTGGTAGGAGACAATCAATACAGTCTGGTAGGAGACAATACAATAATACAATACAGTCTGGTAGGAGACACATTACAATACAGTCTGGTAGGAGACAATACAATAATACAATACAGTCTGGTAGGAGACATACAGTCTGGTAGAGATAATACAATACAGTCTGGTAGGAGACAATACAATAATGTAGGCAATACAGATCTGGTAGGAGACAATACAATAATACAATACAGTCTGGTAGGAGACAATACAGTCTGGTAGGAGACAATACAATAATACAATACAGTCTGGTAGGAGGCAATACAGTCTGGTAGGAGACAATACAATAATACAATACAGTCTGGTAGGAGACAATACAATACAGTCTGGTAGGAGACAATACAATAATACAATACAGTCTGGTAGGAGACAATACAGTCTGGTAGGAACAATTACAATAACTACAATACAGTCTGGTAGGAGACAATACAATAATACAATACAGTCTGGTAGGAGACAATACAATAATACAATACAGTCTGGTAGGAGCATACAGTTGAGCAATAATCAATAAGTCTGGTAGGAGACAATACAATAATACAATACAGTCTGGTAGGAGACAATACAATAATACAATACAGTCTGGTAGGAGGCAATACAATAATACAATACAGTCTGGTAGGAGACAATACAATAATACAATACAGTCTGGTAGGAGACAATACAGTCTGGTAGGAGCAATACAATAATACAATAAGTCTGGTAGGAGGCAATACAGTCTGGTAGGAGGCAATACAATAATACAATACAGTCTGGTAGGAGGCAATACAATACAGTCTGGTAGGAGGCAATACAATACAGTCTGGTAGGAGATAATACAATACAGTCTGGTAGGAGGCAATACAAATACAATACAGTCTGGTAGGAGCAATACAATATACATACAGTCTGGTAGGAGACAATACAATAATACAATACAGTTCTGGTAGGAGGCAATACAATAATACAATACAGTCTGGTAGGAGACAATACAATACAGTCTGGTAGGAGACAATACAATACAGTCTGGTAGGAGACAATACAATACAGTCTGGTAGGAGCAATACAATACAGTCTGGTAGGAGGCAATACAATAATACAATACAGTCTGGTAGGAGATACAATACAGTCTGGTAGGAGACAATACAATAATACAATACAGTCTGGTAGGAGGCAATACAATAATACAATACAGTCTGGTAGGAGACAATACAATACAGTCTGGTAGGATACAATACAGTCTGGTAGGAGACAATACAATAATACAATACAGTCTGGTAGGAGGCAATACAATAATACAATACAGTCTGGTAGGAGGCAATACAATACAGTCTGGTAGGAGGCAATACAATAATACAATACAGTCTGGTAGGATACAATACAGTCTGGTAGGAGACAATACAATGATACAATACAGTCTGGTAGGAGACAATACAATACAGTCTGGTAGGAGAGAATACAGTCTGGTAGGAGGCAATACAATAATACAATACAGTCTGGTAGGAGACAATACAATAATACAATACAGTCTGGTAGGAGACAATACAATACAGTCTGGTAGGAGGCAATACAATAATACAATACAGTCTGGTAGGAGACAATACAATAATACAATACAGTCTGGTAGGAGGCAATACAATACAGTCTGGTAGGAGGCAATACAATACAGTCTGGTAGGAGGCAATACAATACAGTCTGGTAGGAGGCAATACAATAATACAATACAGTCTGGTAGGAGATAATACAATACAGTCTGGTAGGAGACAATACAATACAGTCTGGTAGGAGGCAATACAATACAGTCTGGTAGGAGACAATACAATAATACAATACAGTCTGGTAGGAGACAATACAATACAGTCTGGTAGCTATTACATAGATTTCTCAACTGAAATGTGGAATAATTGATCAAACTTGGACAGAGTCAAGTTAATGCTTCTTTTACTGCCATCTACTGGAAAAGTGTTAAATAAGTAATGACTGTATATGTATCCTTCCATAGGTACACCTCTAAGAACAACACTGTCTATGCCATACTGCTGGCGTGGCCTTCAAAACTGCTGTTCAGCCTCGCCGCACCCAAAACCTCTGAGGCCACTAATGTAAGTATAGCAAACATGGGATTTTACTCTTTATGGTTCGTAACATTGTGTGTGTTATTGAAAGATGCGTTGTGGATTCTGTCCAATAAGGTACAGAGATGTCACGGACAGCACCTTTTTTTTATGCTAACTGAATATTACCGTCTCTCTTCTCAGGTCACCATACTGGACAACCCGTCCGTACCTCTGAAGTGGGTATCGACGACACCAACCGGACTGGTGGTAGTCATGCCTGACATGCCAGTTTCCCCGGGCCGAGGCTGGGTCCTTAGACTAGAGGGAGTAGCGTGAGGAGGCAGTGAACCAAAAACGGTTGTTATTATACGTCAATCGATTTTATGACTGTTTTTAATGTTTTAGTTTTTATTTTCAGGGATTGAAATGTTCTTTTTAGGACTCCTGATACTGATTGGTTTGTGTGAGGCTGCTGAAGCCTAACTGCCTGAACGTGCAATAGATATCGAGACTGCAGAGCCGCTATCAACAATGGCCTCTTTATAGAGATAAGAAAAACTAACCAAACGTGCGGTTATATCCTTTCAGCTACTTGAGGCAACTATGAGGGATGTGCATTATGTTCAACTTACAGTGGTCTGGATACCAATATATTCAGCAATAAGTACCTAAAAACATGGATTTTCATAAATGGCATACCAAAGATGGTTGTTTTGTTCTCTGGGTTTGGTAGAAATGTGCATTGCAACAGGGTGTACAAAGGGAATGTTCCACTTTTCATGACAATATCTCTGTGTAGGCTACTCGTGCCTTTTTGGTGTGTGGACAATCTTTAATTTAGTTTAAACTATGAAAATGTACGCTATGTGAATGAATGTAAATGTGTTTTACCGGGATGTCTTTTTTTAATGCCATTTCTTCTGTAGATTGACATCGAGTTTTGTCTTTATAGCTACAATTGTATTTGATCAACTTTTTAAAAGCCGTTATCTGACTTATCACAATCAACGGTCTGCTTGTCTGAAAATTATTTACTTGTACATGTTGTCTGTTAGATTCAGTAGACTACAGAGAACTTCAGTGTGGCCAAAAGGCACTTAGTTTTCATTAAACCATTGGTTGCGCATATCTTTTTATGCACAGCTCTACACGGAACCGGTTTGAACAGAAGTCATGTGACCACAGATAAAACAGTAAAGGTCGTTGCCATAATGTGTACAGTAGATTATGCCTATAAACCGATATGAAACGTTGCAGTTTAGTTTTATTCTAGGTATCACCCCTTGTTGAAGCACCAGAAATACGGTGCTGTCCCTATTCGCAAGGAATAAACTCATAATGGCCCGTGTACACTAGCACGCGACGCCGCGTCCTCTCTCACATCAAAACATACCTGCAGACGAGAGACAGATGGAGAGAGAGCATGATTAAGCCGTGTGTTTTAAATTTTCTTATTCTAAACACTGTCAGTCATCTTAATCCTCAGGAGGTGAAATGCAAAACTGACCTTGTATCATTAACTCTGGGACTACTGTCAATTTGTAGCTTGTTTTTGGACACAGGTCCAGGAATGGCTAAACGATTGCAATATTTACCCGGAGCTAACCCTGCAGATAGCACTACTGGGTGATCTGAAAAGTCATAGTCAATCGATCAATAATATAATAATACTTTTAGCAAAAATGTTTATTTTCATTTTACAATCTGTAGAAACAATGAGAATAGAAAGGTTCAGAACTTTTGTAAAACATCACAGTACAGTTGAAAAATATATGGCAAATAGAAATCCTATATGGATGGTGTTACGAGATAGATGGGTGGTGTTGAATGGAGTTGAAGGATGGGACTAATAACAACTAATAACAAGATAACTAATAATGTAAGCATACTATGTCCATAATAAGTATATAGGTTGTAGGTTGGGAGCTTTTGTGAAAGAGCACAGTTAGAAAGATATGGCATATAGAAGCAAACCGGATGGACATCATGAAAATGATCAGGAGAAAAACAAACAAAATATAATTATTGTAAAATTGACTGTGTCCATAAAATGTACAGTGGGGAGAACAAGTATTTGATACACTGCTGATTTTGCAGGTTTTCCTACTTACAAAGCATGTAGAGGTCTGTAATTTTTATCATAGGTACACTTCAACTGTGAGAGACGAAATCTAAAACAAAAATCCAGAAAATCACATTGTATGATTTTTAAGTAATTAATTTGCATTTTATTGCATAACATAAGTATTTGATACATCAGAAAAGCAGAACTTAATATTTGGTACAGAAACCTTTGTTTGCAATTACAGAGATCATATGTTTCCTGACCAGGTTTGCACACACTGCAGCAGGGATTTTGGCCCACTCCTCCATACAGACCTTCTCCAGATCCTTCAGCTGATATAACAGAGGATTTAGGGAGAAAGGGGGGAGAGGGATGACGTGAAGGAGAGAGACTGTTATTGAGAAAATCAGGTAGTTAAAGAGACGGTGTTCAACAGGAATCTGTGTGTGTGGCGTCACCCCACACTAAGTGGCTGCAGAGTACTTTATACAGAAAAACATGCAGACACACGAGGACAAACAATAGCGTAGTTCTATAAATATAAATAATGAAGTGTCTTACTATTCTCCATGGTTGGTCCTCTGGCCTGTTCTTTGAAGGTGGAAGGAGCCACAGTTATACACCTGAGCCTGCTTAATGCACAACACAATCCATCAATCAGATGGATACACGAGTGTGTAGGTGTGGGTTGTAGGGTGTCTAATTGTTCTAAATGTTTTCAATATGGGTGACTCTTAAAAGAGCCTGTTTTGTTATCGTACAGACATCACCCTTACCTGAACAGCACCCTCACCTGGACATCACCCTTACCTGAACAGCACCCTCACCTGGACAGCACCCTCACCTGGACAGCACCCTTACCTGTCTGCTAAATGGCATATTATTATTATTATTATTATTAAGTAGAAATCAAAGGGAGAGAAACTGGGAATTGAATAACTGCGGTTGGCATAGCTAAGTAAATGGAAGAATACTCGTATTGCAATGTGGATGGCTCTTAAAAGAGCCTTTGGTTGTGTATAGTGTAGTCTATGGTGTTGCCAAGGAACAGCACCCTCTTCGAAGAAGTAGGAGGTGAAGATCTCCCGGCACACAGATTGCCTCCCGTGCTGCGTTGTTGCCCCCCCCCCCCCATCCTGGTAACATCCTGCAGAGCAGCAGACCTCTCCTCTGGCACTCGGCGACGAGCTGCAGATCACCTCCTGGTCCTCATGTCCATCCTCATGATAGTTATGCAGGACACAGGAAGCCTTCACACACACGCCTGAATTCCCCCAGGAGGCAGTCTCAGATGGCCCTGGTCACCCAACCTTGCAGTGCCCTACACGGTAACTGTAGGCAATCGTTTTGAAGGAATCTCCAGTTGCAAGGTATCTCCAGGAATATGGAAGATAATGCCATTATTAGACTTTCACATCACCAGGTCACTACTAAGTATCATATCTCTTATAACAAATCATGATAACATTGGATAGATAGATAGATAGATACATGTGCAAACACATGACAACAGCAGGATCATATCAAGGATAGCATCACAAATGAATACATAAATACCAGTTGAAGCTTGATGATGAGTTGATCATTTGAATCAGCTGTGTAGTGCCGAGGTAAAAACAACAATGCGCACCCCTTTGAGTCCCCGGGACCAGGACAGAGAACCACCGCTCTTCATTGGGACCTTCAGACAGGCTTTCACAGCTCTCTGTATCTGAGGACAGAAAACATCACAAGGAACAGACTTCATTATACTCAAATTAAACAGCACCGAATATGATGTTACTGTTATCTCCGTCCTCACTTCTAGTGACTGGAACTACACAACATAACCTGCCCTATCCAGAACAGCTTACAGTGGGGGGAAAAAAAGTATTTAGTCAGCCACCAATTGTGCAAGTTCTCCAACTTAAAAAGATGAGAGAGGCCTGTAATTTTCATCATAGGTACACGTCAACTATGACAGACAAAATGAGGAAAAAAAATCCAGAAAATCACATTGTAGGATTTTTTATGAATTTATTTGCAAATTATGGTGGAAAATAAGTATTTGGTCAATAACAAAAGTTTCTCAATACTTTGTTATATACCCTTTGTTGGCAATGACACAGGTCAAACGTTTTCTGTAAGTCTTCAGAATGTTTTCACACACTGTTGCTGGTATTTTGGCCCATTCCTCCATGCAGATCTCCTCTAGAGCAGTGATGTTTTGGGGCTGTCGCTGGGCAACACGGACTTTCAACTCCCTCCAAAGATTTTCTATGGGGTTGAGATCTGGAGACTGGCTAGGCCACTCCAGGACCTTGAAATGCTTCTTACGAAGCCACTCCTTCGTTGCCCGGGAGGTGTGTTTGGGATCATTGTCATGCTGAAAGACCCAGCCACGTTTCATCTTCAATGCCCTTGCTGATGGAAGGATGTTTTCACTCAAAATCTCACGATACATGGCCCCATTCATTCTTTCCTTTACACGGATCAGTCGTCATGGTCCCTTTGCAGAAAAACAGCCCCAAAGCATGATGTTTCCACCCCCATGCTTCACAGTAGGTATGGTGTTCTTTGGATGCAACTCAGCATTCTTTGTCCTCCAAACACGACGAGTTGAGTTTTTACCAAAAAGTTCTATTTTGGTTTCATCTGACCATATGACATTCTCCCAATCCTCTCCTGGATCATCCAAATGCACTCTAGCAAACTTCAGACGGGCCTGGACATGTACTGGCTTAAGCAGGGGGACACGTCTGGCACTGCAGGATTTGAGTCCCTGGCGGCGTAGTGTGTTACTGATGGTAGGCTTTGTTACTTTGGTCCCAGCTCTCTGCAGGTCATTCACTAGGTCCCCCTGTGTGGTTCTGGGATTTTTGCTCACCGTTCTTGTGATCATTTTGACCCCACGGGGTGAGATCTTGCGTGGAGCCCCAGATCGAGGGAGATTATCAGTGGTCTTGTATGTCTTCCATTTCCTAATAATTGCTCCCACAGTTGATTTCTTCAAACCAAGCTGCTTACCTATTGCAGATTCAGTCTTCCCAGCCTGGTGCAGGTCTACCATTTTGTTTCTGGTGTCCTTTGACAGCTCTTTGGTCTTGGCCATAGTGGAGTTTGGAGTGTGACTGTTTGATGTTGTGGACAGGTGTCTTTTATACTGATAACAAGTTCAAACAGGTGCCATTAATACAGGTAACGAGTGGAGGACAGAGGAGCCTCTTAAAGAAGAAGTTACAGGTCTGTGAGCGCCAGAAATCTTGCTTGTTTGTAGATGACCAAATACTTATTTTCCACCATAATTTGCAAATAAATTCATAAAAAATCCTACAATGTGATTTTGTGGATTTTTTTTCTCTCAATTTGTCTGTCATAGTTGACGTGTACCTATGATGAAAATTACAGGCCTCTCTCATCTTTTTAAGTGGGAGAACTTGCACAATTGGTGGCTGACTAAATACTTTTCCCCCCCACTGTAGCTGGTGATATTTAATTCACTTAGCTAGCTATACAGTATGCACATTTGGCTAGATAGCTAGCCACATTAGCAGCTCATTTGAGTTAGCCTACACTGTAACATCAGCTAGTTCCTGTATACACTGGGTATGTACACTGCTCAAAAAAATTAAGGGAACACTTAAACAACACAATGTAACTCCAAGTCAATCACACTTCTGTGAAATCAAACTGTCCACTTGGGAAGCAACACTGATTGACAATAAATTGCACATGCTGTTGTGCAAATGGAATAGACAACAGGTGGAAATTATAGGCAATTAGCAAGACACCACCCAATAAAGGACTGGTTTTGCAGGTGGTGACCACAGACCACTTCTCAGTTCCAATGCTTCCTGGCTAATGTTTTGGTCACTTTTGAATGCTGGCGGTGCTTTCGCTCTAGTGGTAGCATGAGACGGAGTCTACAACCCACACAAGTGGCTCAGGTAGTGCAGCTCATCCAGGATGGCACATCAATGCGAGCTGTGGCAAGAAGGTTTGCTGTGTCTGTCAGCGTAGTGTCCAAAGCATGGAGGCGCTACCAGGAGACAGGCCAGTACATCAGGAGACGTGGAGGAGGCCGTAGGAGGGCAACAACACAGCAGCAGGACTGCTACCTCCGCCTTTGTGCAAGGAGGAGCAGGAGGAGCACTGCCAGAGCCCTGCAAAATGACCTCCAGCAGGCCACAAATGTGCATGTGTCTGCTCAAACGGTCAGAAACAGACTCCATGAGGGTGGTATGAGGGCCCGACATCCACAGGTGGGGGTTGTGCTTACAGCCCAACACCGTGCAGCACGTTTGGCATTTGCCAGAGAACACCAAGATTGGCAAATTCGCCACTGGCGCCCTGTGCTCTTCACAGATGAAAGCAGGTTCACACTGAGCACATGTGACAGACGTGACAGAGTCTGGAGACGCCGTGGAGAACGTTCTGCTGCCTGCAACATCCTCTAGCATGACCGGTTTGGCGGTGGGTCAGTCATGGTGTGGGGTGGCATTTCTTTGGGGGGCCGCACAGCCCTCCATGTGCTCGCCAGAGGTAGCCTGACTGCCATTAGGTACCGAGATGAGATCCTCAGACCCCTTGTGAGACCATATGCTGGTGCGGTTGGCCCTGGGTTCCTCCTAATGCAAGACAATGCTAGAACTCATGTGGCTGGAGTGTGTCAGCAGTTAATGCAAGAGGAAGGCATTGATGCTATGGACTGGCCCGCCCGTTCCCCAGACCTGAATCCAATTGAGCACATCTGGGACATCATGTCTCGCTCCATCCACCAACGCCACGTTGCACCACAGACTGTCCAGGAGTTGGCGGATGCTTTAGTCCAGGTCTGGGAAGAGATCCCTCAGGAGACCATCCGCCACCTCATCAGGAGCATGCCCAGGCATTGTAGGGAGGTCATACAGGCACGTGGATGCCACACACACTACTGAGCCTCATTTTGACTTGTTTTAAGGACATTACGTCAAAGTTGGATCAGTCTGTAGTGTGGTTTTCCACTTTCATTTTGAGGGTGACTCCAAATCCAGACCTCCATGGGTTGATACATTTGATTTCCATTGATAACTTTTGTGTGATTTTGTTGTCAGCACATTCAACTATGTAAAGAAAAAAGTATTTAATAAGATTATTTCATTCATTCAGATCTAGGATGTGTTATTTTAGTGTTCCCTTAATTTTTTTGAGCACTGTATTTACTTGAATAGGTTCTCCCAGACGTGTGGACGATTGGAAACAGGGCAGCAAAGATTGCTTGTCACCAGAGCGGTTCAGGGCATATTACTATTTACCTGTGATTAAATTCATGACATGGAAAATGGATTAAACTATTTACCCATTGAATAACCAGACTTGCTATGCTGAATTGTTGACGCGAAATCGAACATGTTGCTATATGCTGCTGGCACAAGCCAGCCACTCTGGGCGCAATTTACCGCCTTCTAATGTACACCAGCGGTTTGGACGCAAGACCGCTTTCTATATGATGAAGAAGCCCCAGGGTTCAAGAGTGAGTGGTCCTGGTGGTTTTCGCAAAGCCAAAACCCACCGGACCCGAAGTCTGCGCTCTACATGCTGGAGAACTACCCGGCCGGGTTCAGCTATTCGGACTTCGCGCCCCAGGTCCATGCCCAGTTCTTTGACGCAGATGACTTGACTGACATATTCGAGGCTTCCGGTGTAGAGTCATATTTATGTTGCATCTAGAAAAGTGTATTACATTGTTTTACATTTAAAAATATATATATACAGTACCGGTCAAAAGTTTGGACACACCTACTCATTCCAGGGTTTTTCTTTATTTTTTAAAACTATTTTCTACATTGTAGAATAATAATGAAGACTTCAAAACTATTAAATAACTCATATGGAATCATGTAGTAACCAAAAAAGTGTTAAACCAATCAAAATATATTTTATATTTGAGATTCTTCAAAGTAGCCACCGTTTGCCTTGATGACAGCTTTTCACACTTACATGTTAGTCATTTATCAGACGCTCTTATCCAGAGCGACTTACAGTTAGTGAGTGCATACATTTTTCATACTGGCCCCCCGTGGGAAACGAACCCACAACCCTGGCGTTGCAAGCGCCATGCTCTACCAACTGAGCTACACTTGGCATTCTCTCAACCAGCTTCATGAGGTTGTCACCTGGAATGCATTTCAATTAACAGGTGTGCCTTGTTAAAAGTTAATTTGTGGAATTTCTTCCTTCTTAATACGTTTGAGCCAATCAGTTGTGTTGTGGCAAGGTAGGGTTGGTATACAGAAGATAGCCCTATTTGGTAAAAACCAAGTCCATATTATGGCAAGAACAGCTCAAATAAGCAAAGAGAAATGACAGTACATCATTATTTTAAGACATGAAGGTCAGTCAATCCGGAACATTTCAAGAATTTTGAACGTTTCTTCAAGTGCAGTCGCAAAAACAATTAAGCGCTATGATGAAACTGGCTCTCATGAGGACTGCCACAGGAATGGAAGACCCAGAGTTACCTCTGCTGCAGAGGATAAGTTCATTAGAGTTACCAGCCTCAGAAATTGCAGCCCAAATAAATGCTTTACAGAGTTCAAGTAACAGACACATCTCAACATCAACTGTTCAGAGGAGACTGCGTGAATCAGGCCTTCATGTTCGAATCGCTGCAAGGAAACCACTACTAAAGGACACCAATAAGAAGAAGAGACTTGCTTGGGCCAAGAAACACGAGCAATGGACATTAGACTGGTGGAAATCTGTCCTTTGGTCTGAATGTAGACAAGATCAGGACAAAGGATCCATATTAGCACCAGGTATAAACAGGGCTAGAGTGAGAGAAGTCATGAAGGAGTCACATGACTTTTGGAAAAGAAAACAAGATGTCACCTGGTTCTTAACACTTCATCTGCACTTGGGGCCTGATTCAGACTTTAAAATGGTATTTAAACGTACGCCTTTCATACGCACTTCTCAGTAGTTGGTATTCAGACTTACCTAATGCAGGCGCGTAATGCGCTTTACAGGTGTGTCTACCTTGCTTGCACTGAATAAATGAAATTCAACCGCTGAAAATCCTCCCACTTGTTGGCCAACAGATTTTCTCGTGGAGTTTTCATTACATTTATCTGAGTCTTTACATACGGTGTACCTTTTAATTAGAATTAATTTTGTCGACAGACTCACTAGAATACATCTCACTAGAATACACCGAGAGAACAGGTTCAGAATATAGGGATCAATGAAAGAAAGCCATCTAAATATATGCATTTTCATCTCTGTTTCAGCACAAACTGGTAGATTTTAAAATACTCAGATCTTGTAGATTATTTAGGCAAATTGTAGGGTTAGGAAAGTATGAATGAATCATTGATTTGAAGAGCCTTTACACACTAAATATATTGATGAATCAAAAATACAGTGGTTATCCTGAAAGTTGCCCATATTTAAATTAAATCCACTGGAAGGTGGAAAAAAAAGTGTCCAATAGGGGTTGAACAATAGTCCTATAAATCTGCCCTAATCCTCACTAATCATGGAACTGATGCTGTTCTGATGCTGTTGGAACACCTAAGTCATTCAGGGTCAGAATACAGCGTATCTGTGGACAAACCTTCATGTCGTTGATCTCCACCCCGAACGAATAGTGGGAGAATAGCATGCTATTCTCATGTTTAAGTTCAAGGTCAGAATAAGAAACGAAAAGTGCCAAAAAAAAAAAAAAAAAAAGATAATTACATTCATTTGCTTAATTCAGGTCGGAATTCCAGTTGGAATTTTTAAAAATCGGTCAGTAGACTGTTGCTTTTAGAAATTCGACACAAAGAAAGACACAGAGACACGCGTCATTTTTTTGTTTCACTCGCTAAAAATAGCTTTATAATAATCGTCGTATTAATATTAATCATAGTAATTAGCCATTAGAAAAATGTTTACAAGGTGTACAGTGTTACATTCTGTGTTGGGTAAACCACTTCACAGTGTGCCCTCTCTCTGGGGTCAGCGCTGGGCTAGCTACCCATGTAGCTCTACACATCTATCCCATAATACACAGTGCATTCGGAAAGTATTTATACCCCTTCACTTTTTCCACATTTTGTTACAGCCTTAATTTAAAATGGATAAAAATAAAATAAATTCCTCATCAATCTACACATAATAATAATAAAAAATAAACAGAAATACCTTATTTAGACCCTTTGCTATGAGACTCGAAATTGAGCGCTCAGGTGCATCCTGTTTCCATTGATCATCCTTGAGATGTTTCTACAACTTCATTGGAGTCCACCTGTGGTACATTTAATTGGTTGGACATGATTTGGAAAGGCACAAACCTATCTATATAAGGTCCCACAGTTGACAGTGCATGTCAGAGCAAAAACCAAGCCATGTCGAAGGAATTGTCTGAGACAGGATTGTGTCGAGGCACAGATTTGGGGAAGGGTACCAAAACATTTCTGCTGCATTGAAGGTCCCCAAGAACACAGTGGCCTCCATCCTTCTTAAATGGAAGAAGTTTGGAACCACCAAGACTCTTCCTAGAGCTGGCCGCCCGGCCAAACTGAGCAATCGGGGGAGAAGGGCCTTAGTCAGGGAGGTGACCAAGAACCCAATGGTCACTCTGACAGAGATCTAGAGTTCCTCTGTGGAGATGGGAGAACCTTCCAGAAGGACAACCATCTCTGCAGCACTCCACCAATCAGGCCTTTATGGTAGAGTGGCCAGAAGGAAGCCACTCCTCAGTAAAAGGCACATGACAGCCCGCTTGGAGTTTGCCAAAAGGCACCTAAAGGACTATCAGACCATGAGAAACTAGATTCTCTGGTCTGATGAAATCAAGATTGAACTCTTTGGCTTGAATGGCAGCGTCACGTCTGGAGGAAACCAGGCATGGCTCATCACCTGGCCAATAACATCCGTACGGTGAAGCATGGTGGTGGCAGAATCATGCTGTGGGGTAGTTCTTCAGGTGCAGGGACTGGGAGACTAGTCAGGATCAAGGGAAAGATGAATAGAGCAAAGTACAGAGAGATCCTTGATGAAAACCTGCTCCAGAGCGCTCAGGACATCAGACTGAGGGGCGAAGGTTCACCTTCCAACAGGACAATGACCCTAAGCACTCAGCCAAGAAAACACAGGAGTGGCTTCGGGACAAGTCTCTGAATGTCCTTGAGTGGCCCAGCCAGAGCCCAGACTTGAACCCGATCGAACATCTCTGGAGAGACCTGAGAAAGCTGTGCAGCGACGCTCCCCATCCAACCTGACAGAGCTTGCGAGGATCTGCAGAGAAGAATGGGAGAAACTCCCCAAATACAGGTGTGCCAAGCTTGTAGCGTCATACTCAAGAAGACTCGAGGCTGTAATCGCTGCCAAAGGTGCTTCAACAAAGTACTGAGGAAAGTGTCTGAAAACGTATGTAAATGTAATATTTCCATTTTTTTTATTTTTTTATGTCTAAACCTGTTTTTGCTTTGCCATTATGGGGTATTGATTGATCAGGGAAAAAAACAATTGAAAACATTTTAGAATAAGGCTGTAATGTAACAAAATGTGGAAAAAGTCAAGGCGTCTGAATACTTTCCAAATGCACTGTACACTATATACAGTTGAAGTCGGATGTTTACATACACCTTAGTCAAATACATTTAAACTCAGTTTTTCACAATTACTGACATTTAATCCTAGTAAAAAATCCCTGTATTAGGTCAGTTAGGATCACCACTTTAAGAATGTGAAATGTCAGAATAATAGTAGAGAGAATGATTTATTTAAGCTTTTATTTATTTCATCACATTCCCAGTGGGTCAGAAATTTACATACACTCAATTAGTATTTGGTAGCATTGCCTTTAAATTGTTTAACTTAGGTCAAACGTTTTGGGTAGCCTTCCACAAGCTTCCCACAATAAGTTGGGTGAATTTTGGCCCATTCCTCCTGACAGAGCTGGTGTAACTGAGTCAGGTTTGTAGGCCTCCTTGCTCGCACACGCTTTTTCAGTTCTGCCCACACATGTTCTGTAGGATTGAGGTCAGGGCTTTGTGATGGCCACTCCAATACCTTGACTTTGTTGTCCTTAAGCCATTTTGCCACAACTTTGGAAGTATGCTTGAGGTCATTGTCCATTTGGAAGACCCATTTGCGACCAAGCTTTAACTTCCTGACTGATGTCTTGAGATGTTATCCACATCATTTTCCTTCCTCATGATGCCATCTATTTTGTGAAGTGCACCAGTCCCTCCTGCAGCAAAGCACCCCCACAGCATGATGCTGCCACCCCCGTGCTTCACGGTAGGTATGGTGTTCTTCGGCTTGCAAGCAACCCCCTTTTTCCTCCAAACATAACGATGGTCATTATGGCCAAACAGTTCTATTTTTGTTTCACCTTGACCAGAGGACATTTCTTCAAAAAGTACGATCTTTGTCCCCATGTGCAGTTGCAAACTGTAGTCTGCCTTTTTTATGGCGGTTTTGGAGCAGGCTTCTTCCTTGCTGAGCGGCCTTTCAGGTTATGTCGAAATAGGACTTGTTTTACTGTGGATATAGATACTTTTGTACCTGTTTCCTCCAGCATCTTCACAAGGTCCTTTGTTGTTGTTCTGGGATTGATTTGCACTTTTCGCACCAAAGTACGTTCATCTCTAGGAGACAGAACTCCTTCCTAAGCGGTATGATGCTGCGTGGTCCCATGGTGTTTATAC